GGTTAAAACCAAGAACCAAGAGCTTCTGAGTCTCCCACATGGGTGGCTGGGACGTAAATGACAGGGTCATATTCCACTGCTTTCCAGGGCATATTAGAAAGGAGTTAGATTGAAAGTAAAGCATCTGGGACTTGAACTGGTACCATATGGAATGCTGGTAAAATTATACCGGATTCTGCTTAAATTATACCACAGCCCTGGCCCCCGTGCCTTTTAATTAAAGTTTAGTTTTTTTCCACATTTTAATTGTTGCAGAATTTTTTCCAGGTGCTTTTTAAAATGTAATTTAAAATTATTTTCTTTTATTTTTAAGATTTATTTGAAAGTGAAACAGAGAAGAGGGGGAGGAGAAGATGAAGGGGGAGGAAGGGAGGGAGGGAGCGAGTGGCAGGGGGAGAGGATGCCTGTTGTATTATTGGCAGCTTAACCCACTGAGCCAGAATACTGGCATTGTAAATGGTTTTATCTTTTGTAAAGAATTTAATATTTAACTATTGATGCTATCAAATAACAAAACCTGTGATTAAATTCTAGCAGTTTTGCTATATTCTGTGATTGGTTTATAAGCTTTTTGAGGATTTTCTCAGTGCTGAGTTGACCAGCTGTGTATCACAGCTCTTTTTGCCTTCTGGTCTTCATACTTGCTCATGCATCCCCTCCTTTGCTTGCTGCAGTTGGTAGCGCCCACTGCACCTTGTCATTGGAGATTCTGGTGGATGGCTCCTGTGTGCTGTGAGCTGCACAGGCCTTCCCATCTGACTTCCATTGCTTAAACCTCACCCCAGTGCCTTTCAGCATGGCTTGCTCTGCTCCAGCCGTGTTCCTGCCCGGATGCCTTCTGAACACAGCAGGCATAATCTCATCTTGAAGTTTTTAGGTTTGTTATTTGGTGGGCAGGGAAGCACTTCCTCTAGATTCCTGTTTTTGACTTGCTTCTTTTAAGTCTTCACTCAAAACATCTCTACGATGAGGGCTTCATTAGCTACCCCTTTCCCCCTTATTTTGTTGTTTTAATAACTTTATTATACAATAACATATATACCATAGGATTTGGTCATTTCAAGCTGTAATTTGGTAGCTTTCAGGAGATTTATTAGGCGGAATAATCAGCATCATAAACAGTTTTTTTTTTATTTAAAGATTTATTTATTTATTGGAAAGTCAGATATACAGAGAGGAGGAGAGACAGAGAGGAAGATCTTCCATCTGATGATTCACTCCCCAAGTGCGTGCAACAGGCCGATGCTATGCTGATCTGAAGCTGAGAACCAGGAACTTCCTCTGGGTATCCCACAGGAGTGCAGGGTCCCAAAGCTTTAGGCTGTCCTCAACTGCTTTCTTAGGCCACAAGCAGGGAGCTGGATGGGAAGTGGAGCAGCCGGGATTAGAACCGGTACCCATATGGGATTCTGGGGCGTTCAAGGTGGGGACTTTAGCCACTAGACCACGCCGCTGGGCCCCATAAACAGTTTTAAAACATTTTCATCACTCTAATGATATCCATTTGTCTGTCTGATATTGATCTTTTTTCCCACTGCCTAATCTAGGCAACCACTAATCTATATCCATAGATTTGCCTCTTTTGGGTATTATACATTAGTATGATGCTTCATTTGATTTGCTGTATCTTGCTACTTTCACATAGGTTCATCTGTATGCTGTTGCATGAATTGATAATCCACTTGTATTTATGACTAACTTTCAATCACATGGATATACCAGAGTATATATATATCCATACATCATTTGATGGCTGTTATGTAGTCGACCACTATTTGTTATTAATAATCCTGGCCGCCCTATTTTAAAGAGTAACTTTCCCTCTCATGACCAATACTGTGTGTTCACATCCTCCTCTGCTTTGTTTTCCCTTCCTTCTGCTGTCCAGCAAATTGTAATGTCTTGGTTTCTTGTTTGTTGTTGATCTCACTAGAATCTGAGTTCTACAAAAGCAAAGATTTTTGCTGCAAATCGACTTTATTTTTTCTTCAGGTCCTGGAACTGTGTCTGTATATAGTAGGCAATGAATAAATGTTTGTTGAATTAATAAAGGAAATTAATAAAGGAAAAATTGGAGGAACTGGATATTTTCTGTGTCCTGAAATAAATCTCTTTCGTTTTAAATGGTTTGCTGTCACCCCTCTGAGAGGTTCTGTCAGCCCTGGGACTTTGGTCCTGTTGGAGATCGCTCACTCTGGCGCTGTAGCGTGAGTCAGAGCGTGGCGTCACAGGGCTTGTGATATAATGACTTGCTCTATCAGTTCCTAAATGAAGCCTACAGTTTGGGATTTTTTCTTGTGTATGTATATTGCTATCTGATAAATGAAGTTTTCTAATGAGGCCAGATCCAATAAGTTGGCAGTTTGTCATTAATGTAATTCTTTTTTTTTTTAATTTTAATAATCTTAGTTGATTAGGGTACAGAGGGTCAAGGGCTACAGGGTGAAAGTGGGTAATATCATTGTTTCCACACTAATGTAATAATTTTTCCCTGTATCTGGGGCTAGGGGAGTAACAAAGGGAAAAGCCCCACCCAACCTCCCACCCATCCCCGATCCCCAACAAGAGGCACGCTCCAAGGGTCCTGCTCAAACAGTTTTGGTAATTCATCAGTGCTGGATTGCTGCCAATCTCACCATCCCAACCGCAATGAAACCTATTCAGAGTCCGCTGGCTGACAGTCTCTTGATGGTTGGGGTTCCAAGATCAGCAGTTCAGTTGGAGAGATATCGAAAGAAACTTCATCTGAGTTGATCCCAGATCTGATTCTTGCGTGAGTTTGCTAGTACAGACTCCAACACCGTTCGTCACACCAATCAGCTTATGCACATGCTGGTCATTGCAATTGCTTGGTCCGTTCGGTTTCCAGCCCCGTCTTGCTCATGAACCAGTGGGTGTTGTAGTTCAGCTTGATCCTACCCACTTCATACTCGGTCTTCATGCAAACCAGTTGGAGCTGCAGCCTAGTTGGGGTGACTCCTCAAAACCCCCACCAGTTCTGCCCCCTACCCTGGTTCCCATGCTTGCCAGTATGTACTGCAGGCTTGTCCAGTCTGTCCCACATCCCATTTAGCTCTCACACACGTCAATGGACATTGAAGCCTAGTTCAACCCAACCAACCTATTATCCAGCCCATACACCTACTGGCAGGTGCCTTTCTGTCTAGCCACCCCTGCCCCATCCTGGTTTTCGTGCTGTCCAGTGAGGGTGGTAACCCTGAGGGAGGTGCCCGCTATTTCCCTACTAGGCCACACTCACTCCCAGATTATGCAGTCCCCAGGTGGTTTTGGCATTTGACTTGACAGAATTAGCTCCCAGTACCAGCCTCTGCCAGCTAATGCTGTGGCTAAGCCCAAACACCCCTCAACCCACTCTAATTTTTGCTTGTACCAGTCGGAATAGTCAGCTCACCGTGAGGCCCACAGGCGGTATAGCCTTGCCTAGTCTGAACTGCCCCCATCCCAATCCACGCTTTCCAATGGAAGTAGTTATCCAGCAGGGGAGCCCACGATCTCCTGTCGGCTTAGTACACAATCAGTAATGCCAAGGTGAGATGAGCCGTATCAGATGTGGTTGCAGCGCCCAAACAGCACATTAATGTAATTCTTGTAATGCATTTGGAACCGCTGTTGTAGTGCAGTCGGCTAAGCTGCTACTTGTACTGCTGACATCTCAGATTTGGCTGCTCCACTTCCAGTTCAGCTGCCTGCTGTGTACCTGAGAAGCAGCTAATGCCAGTGTTGTGATTGGAGCTCTGGCTCCTGACATCAGCCTAGAACAGTGCTGGCTATTATAACTGTTTAGAAAGAGAACCAACAGATCAAAGATTTCTCTTTTGCTGTCTGCCTCTTTGTCAAATCAATCAATCTTAAAAACAAACAAATGAAAAAAAAAAGCCTAATCCACACAATCAATTCTGAGATTTGCTGGTATATTCTGGATAGTGAAAGTAAAGGTTGGGTACCAGTGCTGTGGTATAGCAAGTGAAGCTGCTTCTTGTAGCCCCAGCATCTCATGTAGGTTCTGAATTGAGTTGTGGCTGTTCCACTTCTGATCCAGTTCTCTGCTAGTATGTCCAGGCAAGCACTGGAAAATGTCCCTGCACTCAATGTGGGAGACCCAAATGAGGCTTCTGACTTTGAGCCTTCGCAGCTCTAGCTGTGCTGTCATTTGGGGAGTGAACCAAGAACCAGGAGGTGGAAGATTCTCTCCCCATCTCTGTCTCTCCCTCCTTTGTAGCTCTGCCTTTCAAATAGGTAAAAGTCTATATCTTAAAATATACATGTAGAATTTTGTTGTCTTTGAAACATTTATTTATTTTACTTGAAAGAGTTAGAGAAAGAGAGACAGAGGTCTTTAATCTGCTGGTTCGCACTCCAAATGGACACAACCCCCACAGCTGGACCCATCCGAAGCTAGGAGCCAGGAGCTTCTTCTGGGTCTCCCAAGTACTCATATCTTTATGGTTCATCAGATCTTTGTTGTGCTTTTAATTGTATGCATTAGTAAATAAAACAAATTTGTAATTGTCTCCTTTTGACACATTTTTGAAGTACAGTAAAAAGGAAGATTGATTATTTTATATCCCTATTGATTACTACTTTCAGCTTTATTTAGGTTTTAAAATGTATTAGTTTATTACTGTTTCATCATTTACAGGTTTTCCTTTTCCTTAAATTCTACAAAGGTAGAATTTAGTGATTACTGTGGGGATATTTTGTCTCAGCATTTTTCCAATTCTTTGTTTTGGGCATTTGCTTTTTCTGTCTGTTAACATATTCCTCACTTCTGTCATTGCCTGTGCTTAGTTTTCTAAAATATTGTCCATTTTCACAGATTAAGGCTGTGTTTTTAATAATTTTTCTGTATGCCTTGATATTTTATTTTATGCTTACTTTCTCTTCTTACAATTTCTGTGATTATCTGAAATGTTTTCTCTTTAATGTTTCAGCAAATGGTGCTTTTTTTCTGAAGTTTTTAATAACTATTTTTGATGCAGATAAATACTGAGGAACATGTGGATGCATCAGATCAGGAGGTTATCATGTGGGATCATAAGATTCCTGAAGATATCCTGAAGGAGATAAGTACCCCTAAAGAGGTACCTGCAGAAAGTGTTACCGTCTGGATTGACCCGCTTGATGCCACACAGGAATATACAGGTAAGTGTAAAAGAAATCTCAGACTTCTGATTGCTATTTTGTGTTAGAAAATTAGGACCAAACCAGCGAGCATAAACATGGTAGTAGATAAATTGTCAAGTATTAGGAAAAATTTCCATTATATTTTAAGCTAGAATCTTACCTTAAGTTAAATAACATTTGGAGTACATTGATGAGTTTAACTCTTTAAGCCTCGGGCCGTTGTATTGTGACATACTCCTTTGAGTATTTGTGACTCTACAGATTTTTGTTTAAAGATTTATTTTATTTTTTTATTGGAAAGTCAGATATACAGAGATGAGGATAGACAGAGAGGAAACTCCTCTGTCCAATGGTTCACTCCCTAAGTGGCAGCAACGACCAGAACTGGCCCATCCGCAGCCAGGAGACTGGAGGGTCTCCCACGTAGATGCAGGGTCCCAAGGCTTTGGGCCGTCCTCAGTTGCTTTGCCAGGACACAAGCAGGGAGCTGGATGGGAGGTAGGGCCACAAGGATTAGAACTGGTACTCAGATGGGGGATCCCGGTGCGTACAAGACAAGGATCTCAGCCACCAGTCTACCATCCTGGGCCCTCAACAGATTCTTAAGTGAAGGAGTCTTTTTAATTGTAGCAGCTAAATAGTTTTTCTGTTAGACACCTCGCTTCTCGGCCTTTTGGCTAAGATCAAGTGTAGACACCTTGTAACTGAGGAAATTTATTTATCTAAAATAGTGTGTTTACCTTGGGTATTTGTAATTCAGTATATATTGTTTGTCTGTCTAGCCTTGGAATTTAAAATATTACATCCTGGGCATCCAGAATGCAAGTAAGTCAAAGTTAGAATTACTTTTGCCTCCTACTTTTAAGTTAGTCCTACATTCAATTTCATTTTTGTGAATCCTGTCTTTGGCCTATTTTTTATTCTGAGGCATATAATTGTGTTTTCTTCTGGTAAATATGCTAAAAGCTACTTGTTTACTTATCCTACTATATATAAGCTCCCTGCATTCTAGTATTTGCTACACTGAAACTTGAATTGTAATAAATATTTATCAGTAAATAACCATCTAGAAATCAGGGAGGATGCAGTAGGTATTTATTGCTTATTGTGATTGGATTATAAAACAATGCAATGCACAGCTATATAATCGGGATTTACAATATTAAAGAGTTTGCTTACGAAATAGTTTTCCTTAGAGCCTGGTGTGATGGCTTAATTGACTAATCCTCCCCTTGCAAGTTGTTGCCAGTTCCTGTCCTGGCCACTCCTAATTCTCATCTAGCTCCCTGCTTGTGGTCTAGTGTTTGGCAAAAGCAGTAGAGGATGGCCCAAAGCTTTGGGAACCTCCACAAAGTAGGAGGCCCGGAAGAGGCTTCTGGCTCCTGGTTTCAGATTGGCTCATCTCTGGCAATTGTGGCCCCTTAGGGGGTGAACCAGCAGACAGAGGATCTTTCCATGTCTTTTCATTCTCTCTGTAAATACACCTTTCCAATAAAAATAAATAGGCCTTACAAAACAAGTTTTCCCTAAATTATTTATCTACTGAAGATTGATTTTTTTGTTTTTATTGGAAAGGCACAGCAGGGAACTAGATGGGAAGTTGGAGGAGCCGGGGCAGGAACTGGCAACCATTTAGGATCCCAGGACTCGCAAGGGGTGGCGGGGGGGGGGGTAGGATTAGCCAACTGGAACATTGCTCTGAGCTTGTAAGTTATATTGGCCTGATTATGTATCACTTAATGAAATTGTTTTTACTCTCCCTTTGATTTTTATGTTTAACCTAGAATTAAAGAATAACTTATACCTAAATTTGAGTACTTACTTAATTACTATCTATACTGTACAGATGAGGAAATTGTATTTAAATCAGTTTCTGTAAGACATTTAGCTAATAAAGTAGGTTAGTGCCCTATAGAATCTGAGCTGTCCCTTATATTGGTTCTTATCTTAATGAGTCTCTGCTTATGCATATTGTTTTGAAATTTCCTACTCATAATATTTTAGTTAAATGAAGTATAACATTGTATCATGAATTCATGTACCTTACTTTGATATTATGTGCTTGTGTTTTTATTTACAGAGGATCTTCGAAAATATGTAACTACTATGGTGTGTGTAGCTGTGAATGGTAAACCTGTCCTAGGGGTTATACATAAACCCTTTTCTGAATACACAGGTATGCCATATTCAAGAATGCTCAGAAGTTAATATTACTGAATTTTGTTGATAATTTTTGCCGTCATGTAAGAGTCACATGTGTCACTTGTTAATTATTGTAGCCATTTCATTACCTTAACCCTACCTCCTCACTAGTTATAGTATATTTTATGAATCATACTGGTAATACAGAGAAAGAAAGGCATTCTAAACCATCTCTAAATAATAAACACTTTTGAAAGAAACAGAACAACACTGGGCACAGAGTACCCTGTAGCTGAATTCCTCTCTGTGACTCATTTCATTGCCAGGGGTAAGGTCCAGAGCTCTTGTGCTTGGGATTCTACATGGCTTCTGAGAGCCACTCTGTAGATGTCCTAGCCAAATTGTTTTCCTGGAAAAATGAGCTTAATTTTATGATATTTAAGGGCATTAGGATAACAGTTGGGGTCAGGTTAATCCTTGCATAGCCCCAGACATCATACAGAGTTCCTTTAGACCCTTTTTTCTGTACTTTCTTGATGCATTTGTCTTTGATAGCTTTCTCCAGATAGCATTTCAGTTTCATGGTGGGAGAGAGGATATAGAAGGCCATACGACTGTGCTTCCCATTCAGTGCAGAAATAACTTTACCCATGGCCTTGCCAGTGGCAATAGATACAAGGATGACATTTGGTATCAATGCTCATTACATTACAGTTTGCCAAGAGGTATCTGTGGTCTACAGGTGGTAGTTTTAGTATTAGTTTAGGCCAAGGTTACACTGTGTTCAACTTGTTAGGGAGGAGGAAACAGTTGTGTAGACAGCATTGCTAACTCTCTGATGGGAATCATCATACTTTTCATTTGGTAACACCCATCAATAAAGGACAGAGATATATGGTCTTTGGCTCCACCCTTTCTTAAGGTGCCAATATCTACTTTGCCAGCATTGGAAAACAACCCTAAAAACCTGGTTTGATTCCCTAAATAATGCCTCTTCAAATTCATGTCCATCCCTATATTAGTTTCCTAGGGCCTCATCGTAAAAACAAAAACCAGAAAAAAAATAAACCCATGAAATGCATTGGTTTCTTTTTTATAGGCTTGTTTATTGATTGATTGATTGATTGATTTATCAGAGAGAAAGATCTCCTATCTCTGGTTCATTCCTCAGTTGGCTGCAATAGCTGGACCCAGCTGAAGCCAGGAGCTTGGGAACTCCCATCCAGTTTTCCATGTGGGCCATCCTCCACTGATTTTCTAAGCACATTAGTGGGGAGCTGGATTAAAAGTGGAACAGTCAGAACTTGAACCGTACTCATATGGGATGCAATTGTCACCGTTAGCTTATTGCACCACAGTACCAGCCCCCCAACTCCACATCTTCCTCAGTATTAGTGGAAGCTCTCACAGGGGAGGCTAGTACTCAAACAAGGTGTTGGCCAAGCCATATTCTCTATGAAAATGCAAAGAATAATGTTTCCATGTTCTCACTTTAGCATCTGGTAGTTAGCCAGCGACTCAGGAGCTTCTTTAACTTAAGAATATATCACTTCTCTGCCTCCCTTATTAACGGCTTTCTCCCTGTGTTGTGTGCCCTTGTCTATCTGTGTTTTCTCTTATCATGATACTGGTTGTATTGGAGTAAAAGTCTACCCTGTTCCAGTATGAGCTCATTTTAACTAATTATGTAATGGTAGCTTTTCCAAATAATATCAAATTCTGAGGTGCTGAGATTCATACTTGAACATATCCTTCTGCAGGACACGATCCAGAAAGTCAAAGTAAGTATTAAAATGAAATCATACTGGATTAAAGTCTGTGAGTGTCCTCATAAGAAACAGAAAGGACACAGACACATGTAGGTAAGACAGTATGAATGGAGAAGTAGGACTGAAGTAATGCCTTTAATGAGTCAAGGATTGCTGGCAGCTGGCAGAAATTCTAGGGGTGAAGTATTACAATTGCTTCTCTTTTAGCCTCTAGAATTAACCAGTCCTACCAACATCTTGCTTTGAGACTTCTGGCCTTCAGAACTTTGAGAAAACAAATTTCTGGTGTTGTAAGCTTCCACGTTTGTGGTGATTTATTGTGGCAGTCCTAGGAAACAAATACACCAGGCATCTCGTTCAGCTGTCATTTACTTTAGCTATGTCAGAGGTGTGACCAACACTACATCAAAAGTCTAGTGGTCAAGTGGAGAGAAACAGAAGGACAGGAGTGTTTTGGTTTCTGTAATATTGTTCATCTGCTTTGCCAGGGAATTGTGGATCCCAGATTCCAGCTTCTTTGGGATGAGATAAATATATATTTCAGTATTGACTCTGCATTTCAAAATCATACCTGGCTTGTGCTATTTGTCCTCCTTTTCATAATTCAGGTAGAGTTATAGAAGCATTTATTTGCTTGAAAGGTAGAGAGATGGAAAGACAAATAAGTAGGGACCCTACTGCTGCTCATACTCCAAATGCCTGTGACAGCCAGGGCATGTCAGGGCTGAGAGCCAGAAGTCCAGTCCATGGACTCCCATGTGAATGATAGGGACCCAGCAACTACAGCCATAATGACTAATCTCACAGTCTACACTGGCAGGAAGCTGGAGTCAGAAGCGTGAAGCAGGACTTGATACCCATTACTCAAGTATGGGATGGAGGTATCTTAACCAGCAGGCCACACATTTGTCTTGACCATTATGCCTCATGTTTTTTTTTTTTTAAGATTTATTTATTTTTATTGGAAAGACAGATATACAGAGAGGAGGAGAGACAGAGAGGAAGATCTTTTATCCAATGGCTCACTCCGCAAGTGAGCGCAACGGCTGGTGTTGTGCCGATCTGAAGCCAGGTGCCAAAGGCGGCTTCCAGGTCTCCCACACAGGTTGCAGGGTCCCAAGGCTTTGGGCTGTCCTCAACTGTTTTCCCAGGCCACAAGCAGGGAACTGGATGGGGAGGGGCGCTGCTGGGAACTGGCGCCCATATGGGATAGCGGTTCATTCAAGGTGAGGACTTTAACCACTATGCTATCATGCTGGGCCCTATGCCTCAGTTTTTTAAAGCTGGTAGTTTGATTAGCTATTAAGGTTTCTATGGCATTGCTATGATATAATTCTTTTATAGTATATGGATTACTTTCATGTGTTTCTCTTTAATCTTGACTAAATTAGGATGAAGATTAGGCCATTAATTTACGCTGGTATAATGTATATCAGTGTCTAAGAAATTTAAACAAATTGGTTTACTTTGCTATATGTAAGTAGGCCAGGTCTAGCACAGTAGTTTCCTGGTCCTCAGGCATGCTGTGTGATTTCCTCCCTCATTGTGCTGTTAGGGATAATTGACTTCAACTACAATCCACCAGTTGAAAGGGTGGAAAGGGAGACAAGGAGGTCATTTCCACTAAGAGTTTGCCTGTTAAGTTATGTGTATCACCTCAGCTAACATCCCATTGATCAAAACAGGTAGAATCCAGTCACAAGGGAGAGAGGAAATGTAGTCTTTGCTGCAATTGTACAAACTAAAATACAGGAATTCGGTCACTCAGGAAATGTGGGGAAAGTTGATATTGGAGTGCAGCTTTGTAGTGCTGTTAAACTCAATGTAGGCCATGAGGGAGGAACAAAAATTAGTACTCCTGGTTTACGATGAAACAAACAGAAAACAGTAGTGAAAAAGTTAATGCAGCGGGACATGCAAGGCGTCTTGTGATATCTACGCATGTGCGGACGCTGCTCTCTCTTCTGGGAAGACAAGATGGCAGAGGTGGAGCGGAAGAAGCGCACATTCCGCAAGATCACCTACTGCGGCGAGCACCTCGACCAGCTGCTTGCCGTGTCCTACGAGCAGCTTATGCAGTTGTACAGTGCGCGCCAGCAGCGGTGGCTGAGTCAGGCGTGCGCGCTGCTGCCCACACGCAAAAAAAAAAAAGAAAAAGAAAAAGTTAATGCATTCCTTAGAATCATTACCTACATTAGTGGCTGAATCAGCCCGAGGAATGTTATGCAAATCACTACATCATATGACTTCATAACAACAATTCTATAATTCTTACCAGTTTATAGATTTTAGCAGTTTGGAATATTTAATGTTTTCTCACTTGATCTTTTTGGTAACTGCAATATAGGTGAAGAAAATGGACCAGAGTTTTTAAAAATTTATTAGAGAGAGGGAGAGAAGGAACAAGGCATCTCTCATCTACTGTTTCACTTCCCGAAGGACTGTGCCAGCCTAAGCCAGAGACAAGGCACTCAGGTCCAGTTTTACCATGTGAGTAGTGGGGACCAGGACAACTGTTCCTTGAGGCAGAAGAGTAGCTTGAAGCCTGTCTATTAAACGTCTGCTTCATCTCATGAACTGAACGTCACATGAAAGGTGAAGCTTGCTGCTTCAAAGATACATGAGAAACTCAATAAAGGAAATGGATATTGGGCAGGCAAAGAGATTTCACATTTTTCGTCTTGTTTTCCACATCATATGAGGAAGAATAGGGATAATAAAATGCCCATTTAAGAAATTGCTTATTCTGTAATAATATTTGTGTCAAGTCTTCTAGGCAACACACATTAAAAGAAATAGAAAGTCTCCAATTTAGGAGCAAGTGGTTTCCATAAATGTCTTTCCAAGTTGGTAATAAAGTGCCCTTTTTTTCTTGTGAAGCAGCTTGCTTACTTAGTAAGCTGGAACATACAAGTGCTCACTAGTCAACAAACACTCTGAAAGAGTTAGTAGGTTCATGCGTATGTGGGTGGACCTTCCACTTCTGAATCGAAGACTTGTTTGCCTTGTGCCCTCCTCTTGGACTGTTATTTTCAGATCCAGACTGTGTTGATGCTGGCAGGGAACCAGTGGGACAGTATTGCATACTTACCAGAATTAAGCCATGCTTAACGATAATGGGAACTAAATAGTATTGTTGTTGGCAGCAACTGGAGTAAATCTAATCAAAATTCTTGTCAGACTTAATTAGAATGAATTTCTTGAGTTAAAATTCTTGGAAGCTGGAGGTACTCGGATAGTATTTTAATGAAATAATATGTTAATTGAAGACATTTTTCTACACAGTAATAGTACTAGTTAATAAGCAGTGTTTTAAGTAAGTATGATATATTCATTCAGTGGAAATTTATAGCTGTTAAAAAGAAATTACAATTTCATGTCTGTGTAACAAAGTACCAACCACTTTTTATTTTCTATTTGTCTTTTTTTTTAGTGTATCTTATCAATAAAATAAAGGTGTTCTATGGCTGCTGTTGGCTCTGTCACTCCTCGCTCGTCACCAGTAGTTGTTTATATGTATTTAAGCATGTGCTGTGTTTTTTTAGGCACTTGGCTCTGAATGTTACAGATGAGTTTCTATAACAGGAAGTACATTTTAAGAAACATTGTTAGTAATTCTTATCTAAAAATTATTTCTATTTCTTTTTTTCTTACACAACACTGACCTCTAGAGACAAAACATTGTAGATTCACTTTTTAGTTAAACATGTACTTCAAACTTATGTAAATAGTCAGTATTTTTTGTCTTCCTCGTTCCTTTTTTAAAAATTCATTATGAATAATTTTGCATTACATCTCTTTAGATATAACAAATGATGAATTTTTACATTTGTAATGATTTTTAGAATGTCCATATACTTTAAAGAAAATGGCAAGGCTCGTAAAATTTTATTACTGCATACTTAGTATTCATCTGTAAAATGTAAGGACATATTTACACATGATAGTATTATTAATATTATGAAATTAATATTTGCTAATGTATCCAGTGTGTTCACGTTTCCCCAATTGTTTCAAAACTGCATTTTTCTAGCTGTCACTACTAGCCGTGACCCTTTAAGGTACAATCATTTCTCATGGTTGTTTGGTTAAAGTAGTTAATCTAGATTTTCCTCCAGGTTCCCTTTTCCTTCCGGGATGCTGACTTGTTGAGAGCAGGTTATTTCACCCATAGAACGTTCTGCCTTTCAGATTGTTTCCTCGAGGCATTGTCTATGTATTAATCCTCTTGTTCTTTAAAATGTCTGGTTTTAAGGCTATTCCTTTTGTCAAGAATGCATTGTGAGTGTGCATCACGTATTTCCTGTTGCACAGATGTGACAGATGTATTCAGTGCCAGCCAGCAGAGTTTTTCCTACAGTTTTCTCAGTCATCACTTGCTGGTCCTCCAACAGGTTATTTCAGAAGAGCTAGTTTATGGGCCTAAATTCTATCTTAGTGCCTCTTACAACTTTTTCTGTTGTCTTGAAACTTGGAAGATCACCTGACTAGGTTACTTTGTCTTTAGTCTGCTTGTATTGGGTCTTGGGGTAGCCATAATATTGCAAGAAACTGGATGGCTTAAACCACAAAGTCTAACATCCAGGGATCTCTCTGTAGGCTTTCCGCCCAGTTTCTAGTGACTCTAGACTTTTTGTTTCTTTATTTAAAAGGAAGAGTGTTAGGGAGGGAAGAAGAGAGGAAGAGTTTCAGGGAGCAAGAGAGAAAGCAGTGCAGGCATGTTGTCTTCGCTTGGTCTACAGTCACTTCACTGCAGTTTCTTTGCCTCTGTCTTACCCAGCCATCTCCTATTCTCTTTCTAACTATACCCGTGACTGGATTTCAAATCCACCCTAACTCCTTTTGTCTTCAGTTTAACTAATCACACATATAAAGACCCAAATTTTAAATGAGGTCATCTATGAAGGCCTTGTGTGGACATGGATTTTGGTAGGACACTGTTCAATCCACTGTACAGCCCTTTGTCTTAGTTAACTTGTACAAACTGTTCAGATGGTATATGCATTTGCATACATATGTGTGTTGAATCTTGTTGGCATAAAAACTGAGACCTGCCTAACCCTTTGGCCAAAGCTCCTTCTCTAATCCCCACACAGGGTCAGCACCAGTACTTCTCTGTTGTTCTGTGGTATTTCCTGCCCGGCTTTCTCACCTGTTTGTGTTTAGAGCTTTCCTCTGCTGCTTTCTCTGCAGATTTGCACATTAACTCTTATTGCTGCATGACCGTGAGATGTGTGAGGAATGCAGGAGATTGTCGTCATTCCTGGGAACTCCAGCAACTCAAATAGGGCTGACTTTAGAAACTATTTTCATCTGCAACCAGGAATAACTGGTTATGCACCTGTTTTCATTGCTAGCTTTGGTGAATGATATTTTATCTCATCAGCAGAGACTGTCATCCCAATGTTGGGATAACTCTAAGTGAATTTGTTTTATTATCCACTTAATAGTGAGGAAAACTTCCAAACCTATACAAACATCTCGGGCCGACTGTGACGTCTCCTTCCTCTTACTCTGTTTTGAAATATAATGCTTTTTCTTGTTGTATTCCCTAATAAAACATATATGTAAACCTAACTCAATTCTGTTTTTTTAACAAATTTATTTATTTTTATTTAAAGGCAGATTTTACAGAGAGAAGGAGAGACAGAGAGAGAGCTTCCATTTGCTGGTTCAATGGACCCCAAATGTCCACAGTGGCCAGAACTGAGCTGATACAAAGCTGGGAGTCGGGAGCTGCTTCCGTATCTGCTTTCCCAGGACACAAGCAGAAATCTGGATTGGAGAGGAGCCTGAACATGAAACAATACCCATATGGGATTTGGCAATAGCATTCAGAAGATTAGCTTGCTACACCACAGTGCCTAAATATATATACATATATGAATGTTTCCGAAGTGGAGGTAATAAAGGAGAAAAATAGATTTAGAATTTGAATTATCCAGAGAAGTTGTGCTTATGCTAAAAGAGGAGATGTTGGGCCCAGGAGACCCAAAAGAAGCTCCTGGCTCATGGCCTCGGTTTGGCTCAGCTCTGCTATTGCTGCCACTTTGGGAGTGAACCAGTGGCTGGAAGATCTTCCTCTTTGTCTCTCCTTCTAAATCTGAGTTTCCAATAGAAATAAATAAATCTTAAAAAAACATAGGGGATATATTCAGTCACTCAGTACTTTGAATTAGAAGGAGAATAACTTGTATTTAAAGCTTCGGTGATTTTGATGAATATTACATTTACGTTTCAGCTTGGGCAATGGTCGATGGTGGTTCAAATGTAAAAGCTCGCTCTTCCTATAATGACAAGACTCCAAGTATCGTTGTGTCTCGCTCCCACTCAGGGATCGTCAAACAAGTTGCTCTTCAGACTTTTGGAAACCAGAGTACAATCATCCCTGCTGGTGGTGCAGGTATGTTCCTACTGTTTTGTGATTCCTCGATGGTATTCCCAGCATGGTCATTGCTCTCGGAGATGTTTGTCTCGGTTCTGTTTGTCTTGTGCTTGGGAGGAAAATGAGAAGAACTGGTATACTCACCAGGCAGGTTATCTCTGGAATAAGATAATGTAAAGTAGGTAAGCTCCTGTTTGGTCTTCTCTAGGGATAGGGTTTCAGTGACAATTACCATGTTTCAAGAAAATAAACAAACCCAGTAATCACACAATAATTTCCTTAACTCATAATACTAAAAAAGATCTCCCCGTATAAAAGCAGTCTTAAGATTTGAAATTGACTTAAGGGGTATTTGATGACTTTTCTTCTGACTCATTTTTAACATGTCAGATATGTTTTTATTTGATAAAAATAGATTATAATCATAAAGCATTTGTGTTGGAAAATCTTTGAGCGCAGTAACAAGGGGGAAGTAAAGATGGTTTACTTTTGGACCATGAGTTTAATTTGCTGAGCATGTATCTGCTTTCGTATTTAGTTATTTATTTTAAAACATTTAAATCCTAGCTCATGATAACAGGTACTTAAGGGGTGCTAATATGTTCTCTTATTTTAAATCAGGCCTGCCTACATGTTTCAGTGAAATTTATGCATGTCTAGTTTTGTATAGGGTGTCATTCCATACAAAATGGCACATGATGAATGTGTTGTTCCGTACAATAATAAGGTATTTAAAAAATTAATTATAGGAATATTTTGGGTTTGCTTGACACTAGCTTAATGAATTACTTTGCAGTATATTTTTGTTTCTTTGAATTTCATGTTTCTACTTGTAAAAATGATTTTTTCTTTTTAAACTGGAAATAATTATAAACTTAAGGGAGCAGTTGCAGTGAGATCCTGCTGTTTGAGCAATACACTAAATCCTGTGTTTCTCTTTTAGGTTATAAAGTTTTAGCACTCTTGGATGTGCCTGACAAGAATCAAGAAAAAGCTGACCTGTATATCCATGTGACATACATCAAAAAGTGGGACATATGTGCTGGCAATGCCATATTAAAAGCCCTTGGGGGGCATATGACTACTTTGAATGGTGAAGAAATCAGCTATACTGGTTCAGATGGCATCGAAGGGGGACTGCTTGCTAGCATCCGAATGAACCACCAGGCTCTGGTCAGAAAACTCCCAGAGTTAGAAAAGACAGGACATAAACAAGCCTAACTGATTACAGGGTACAAACTCTTTTGGAGTGGAAAAGGTTAGCCTGAAACACGCTGCAAGTGTCAAGGGGTATGTGGAGACTATGCATGGTTAAGGCCATCTCGGACTTTTTAAAGTATTTATGAAGCATCAGAGACTTATTTTCCCTGGGACAGGATGAAAGGTCAGGGAAAATGGGTTGCTTCGTGTCTCAAGTATTGTCTTTATTTTTGAGACTATTTTCGTACAGTTGTCATACACAAGGCGCATATGTATATAAATATATTTGTGAATTAAAATCTATAGCTGAGTTTACATTGTTATGAATCACCATTTTCACATAACATGAACCTTCACTCTTTGTTAATACTTTCATATGGAGTTTGGCTGAAGGAAGGGTTGATTTTGTGAAGATGTTTAGTGTAATTATATCTCACTGACAATAAAGTCATTGGGGACTTTACTCCTAATTTGGGTGGAAAGCACAACAAGCCACACACTCACAGAACAGATGCTTTATTTAACTGTTGTTGAATATTTCTATGGATTGAAATGGAAGTAGCTTAAAATTTTTTGTTTGAAATTTTGATAGCAAATTCACCAGCTTGTAGAAAATAGTAGACATGTGGTGATTTGCATTGTAATTAGATTTCCTGTGTACATGTATGTATGTATATGTGTTTTGCTTTGTAACGAAAAGTGTGTGTGTACCCATGGGCTTAGCATTTGTACCATCTTGCTGTTGTTTTCGTTTTCCTGTGGAGGATGCATGATTCCATCCTTCCTCCTAACCAGCAGTTAGTATTTAACTGAGAAAATTCGGCTTAAAGTGTCGAGGTTAGCACTGTCATTCTGGTTCATTTTCTCATTAGGTATAAAATAATACTGTAAGACACCATAAGTATATAAATGATTGTTTATAGTTTAAAGTTACTTGACATGATGTGGACTGAACTAGCTTTCATTATTTTCAGAAAGGTTGTTTTAGTAATTAAAAAACAAAGCAACTTGCCAGGTTTATATGGGAAGATTATCTACAGAGACTGAGCATAGTTGCTTTTCCCATGGTGACTTTTACTGTTAATAAGTGTACAGGATCTAACAAAGCGCTCAATGTAGTAACTTTTGGTACTCCACAGTTTCCTTTTAGACTATCATAATAAAAATAGTTACTTTCTGATAAAATTTTTTTTCTGTTCAGCCTGCAGAATCTGGTTGGAGAAAAAGATGGTGATGCATTCCTTATGTTGCCAAAATTAGAACCTTGCTTTACAAGTTATCTTTGATTAGGATGTGTGATTTCTCTCAATATGATATCTGAAAGCTTCATGTAAGCAATCAATATCATCATTTTCTGTGACTTAAATGGCCTTGTATTCCTTAACACACTAATAAGGAGGGGCGTGTACTATGGCTCCTTTTTTTTTTTAAGCTCTAAAGCAGCTTTTGGTTTGTTTTTGTATTTTGGAAATAAAATTAACCAAAGTGTACGTTCTGGTTTGATAGAATGTGCATGCTTTGGGTTTGCATGTTATACTATCCAGTGCCCTTCAGTACCCATTAGTGAACTACCACTAACATGATACCAAGACTTGCTTTGCCTTTAGCAGAGTATCACAGATCTACATATACAGGCACAAGCCTCCTTCATTGGCCTTGTGTGTTAGAAATTAATTTTGGTGGTTAGTACACTTGATATTTAAATGGACTGAAGATTGCTTGGAAAGAATATCAGGGACCTCATCTCCATACTTTGCAGCAAAATGATGCAATGCTTTCCCTAGGAGAGATGGCAAAAGCAAATGCTTGCCTGAGTTTTATGGTGTTAGCATTTGTTTTAATTGTGATGTGTCAAAGTTAGCAGAAATGACACTGACAAGAAATGAAATTTAATTGGAAGGTTTTTTTGCAATATCATAATGAAATTTTATGATTTAATGGAGGCAGAACTGGTTCATATTAGCAAGTATGGTTTGGGTTTTTTTTTTTCGTTAATCTGTTCAATGTATGTGCTGTAGAAGCAAGTACTTTTTGACTAATCTTTATAAAGATTTGAAGAGTGTGTGTTGTATTCAAAAAATAACTTATTGGCTAAGAGTTAAGTATCTGATTTTTATAATTTCTTGGGATGATCTGCTTACTAATGATTTTGAAGTGCTTTTAGAGAAAGCTCATTTTAAAAGTTTTATTTATGTGAGAAAGCCAGTAAAGATTACAGAACTAATTCAAATACAAGGAACAGCATTTGTAGTTATTTAAATGAGACTTTTCTCTGCAGAATATACCAGTGAAACAGCTTTGTGAGTGAGGCATGTGATACCTGCCAGAATTAGGAAGAACTGTTCCTAAAACATAGCAGAGGGGAACTGTTGCCAGCGACTCCGCCTCTTGGGTTTCTAGTCTTCCCTTTTCCTTTCATTCGTCTTTGCTCTCATTTGGAAGATGAGTTTTGCTTTAAAACTGAGGATTGTGCATCGCATGTGGTGGTAGCAGTGCCATCTGTCACCTCTATCCATAGAGTGCCCCATCGTTTCTCATCTCTACCCTGTTCCCATCTCCCTTGTTCATTAATCATCTTTCTTTTCTGTATGCTCACCCCCAAATTCTTTTCATTTAAATATTTGTCTTGTGATTGCCAAAATTGGAAAAGAAAAAAATAGCGTTTTGCTAAAGTTGCTGTTGGAAATTCATCCTGGCGGATGGCTGGCTAGTTGAGTAACTTCTGAAATACACCTCAGAAAAAAGGAAAACATCCTTCAAAGTCACAACCCTTCGCATTTCAAGGTTAATCCAGTGCTTCTGTCTTTACAAAGCTTTTCTTCTGACCCATCTTTATGAATATAAATGTGAAAAGTAGAGTTTGAATAGGTAAGCCTGCTTGAGAAAACTTGGTTTTTTCTTTGGTTTTCATACTTGTGACACTCACCTCAGTTAAGTTTACAAGGGCCTACAAGATGGTCAGACTTGTCTTTGGTATGCAATTGTACCCTTACCCCAATTATAGTGTTTTGTGATATTAAATCAGTCATATTCTGGTGAGTTATCTATAATGTAGAATGAAACTACAAAAGCATTTTGATTTATATATTTAAAATATCAGTTGTGTGATTGATGTAGTTTGTTGAGTCCTTCCCTTGAGTGTATTCTAAGTTGCCCACCACGAGAGTTGCTTGGACGTCAGGCAGAAGCTCAAAAGGAACTGAGAAGGCTGGGAGAGACGCTCAGACCGGGCGAGGTCAGGAGGATGCCGGGAAGCACCTGCTTACACTTGTCACAGTTGAATTCAGAATCTAGATGTTCCTTTGGTTTTGCAGGTGTCAAGTATCCCTGGTAGCCTGACTGCAAGTACAGCAAGGTTTAGAGTGTCACTACAGGAAAGAAAATCCAATTTCCTGTCCTGGATAATACCTGGAGGATTACCTTCAGACAATCGGATGGGCAAAAACAGGAGCTGTTTGCATTATCCTAGCACAGCTATATTGGCAGTGTGTTAACTGCTTCTAGATAGACACAATGAATTTTTCGTTTTGGACTGAGGCTGAGTCTAAGATATATTTATTTATATGTCCACAAACAATGTGTTTTGTGACCCTTGTATAAAGGAAGCCTAATTTGTGGTTTCATATTTTATCTTTAAAAAAGTTGTGCCTTAACAATAGGGCATTGTATGTTAATAAGAGAAAAATAAAACCCTTTTTTAATAGGTGGGGAATATAGGAACTTTTTGCCATTAAAATTTAAGTTCTTTTAGTGTTTTTAATATTAGAGTTTGGGAATTCATTAATGATAAAATTGATATGAAATTATTTTTGCATAATCTAGCATTTTCAACTAAAGTACATTTTTATAAGAACTGGCATATTGATGTATATAGGTCTGCAATGATATTTCATCTTCTGATTCTCAATTTCAGTGGATAAAACCATCCTTGGAAATTTTAGTTTTATAGATCATTTCAGTGTGCTATATTGAACCTTTTCTCCTAATCATCTAGTCCTTTTGATTAGAAAATATTTATTCATGATAGTATGTGAATAATTTATTAATGTTAAGTTCTATGTGTTGTGAAACAAACAGTTCCTAAGGTGGTGGATTCTCGGTATGGTCAGCAATTACAGAGAGTGCAAGGAAATCCAATTGGACTTTGGAGGGAAGTGTTGGTTTTATAATGTGATGGCTTGCCAAAATTTATTTTTTCGTTTCATCAGAGCCTGGCATTCATCAGAGCCTGATATACGCATTCCAATTTACTTTGGGTTGTATTATTTCTCTTTTCTTTCAAAAGTTGTCTGGTGAAATTATTCTGTGGGAATATGAGATTTTTAAGTTCCTTTGAGATAATGAAAGCCAAACTAAGAAATTGAGAATGATGCATCTTATTAAAACAACTTTTTTGTATTGTGTTTGTTAGGATTTCCTATAATGTTAGAATTTGTGTAAATTGCTAAAGAGATTATGATTTTTGATTAGTTGTCTATTATGTTAAAATTCTTTTTCAGGTGTCTATTATATATTCACATAGTAAATTTTTCTTGAGGAACAAAGTACTTACCCTATATTCTTTTAAATAGGAAAAAACATGCAGTGTGTTATTAGATCGGTTAAGCTAAAAAACAATATTCTGTCTTGTAGCCTTTTTCATCATTTATGTTGTATTAGGAGGGAGCATCTATGAACTTAAATTTGTATTCACCTGTGCTTCCCTTCACTAGTAGTAGTCAAAGTTAGTTTTTAAGTCTTATCAGAAGAGACTCTGTTCTGCCATGATGAACACTGGCACTGTGGAGCCTCATTTCTCCTCTGTGACAGTGTTATGTGTCTCCATGTGTTCAGTATATGCAGTGGGTCGAGTTTAGTTTACATACACACAAAAAGAAGTTGTTTTTCCTTTTTGTGTCCCTGCCTCTTCGAACGTAACATCCCTACTCCTGAAAGTTCATTTGTTATAATCGGCTAACAAAGATGAGAAAAATTATAAAATCAGAATACTTTACTTTTGCAAACTCTGTCTCCTTTCACAAATGAAAGCTGTAGAAGTCGTCGACCTTTCCCTGTTCCAGAGTCCTAAATAGACCGTGGTTTTCTTAGGTGCTTAGTGTGCGTGGAGCTAAATTGAGAAAATGTTGACTAGTTGACTACTAATAGTAGTGTTTCATGCCTCAGCTGTGGGAGCTGGTGGTTTCTTTGTTTCCTTTGCAAGTATTTATTTCATTATCACCACATACACATTGTTCTTATGTTTTGGTGTTCCTTCAGGTACTACGCATTGGCCAATTACCTGTAGAAAATGTGATTCCTTACAATAACATAATTGTCCCAAATGGTTGAACTTTGCCAAATGAAATTTGAATTCTGAATAAATTGATCATGTCTGAAAGAGATGTGTTGCATCTGCTTTTTTTCCCGTTCTATTTTATTATGGTACACTTTATTTTTTATTTATTTATTTTTTTAAGATTGCTGAAAGCTGGAACAGAGCGAGAAGAAAGAGATACCCATCCGATGTTTCACTCCCCAAGTGGCTGCTACAGACAGGGTTGGATAGGCAGAAGCCGGAGTCCAGGGACTCTGTCCTGGTCTCTCACATGGACAGTACGGGCACAGCCACTTCCTCTGTCTTGCTACTGAGGACACATTAGTGGGAAATGTGTAATGTAAGTGGAACAGCTGGGACTCAGCTGGGAAACAAGCAGAGGTTTAACCTGTTGCAACACAATGCCCAGCCTCTGTTCTAATTTTCAAATGCACAATTCAGTGTGTTCAGTACATTCACAATGTTTTGCATGTGCATGTCTGAGAACAGATATGTGACAAGTGGCACAAGACTAGAATTCTTTACTGGATTTCTGAAAGTAAAATGGCGGCTATGAAAGTGGGAATGAAAGAAGACAGTTGTACAAAGGCAGTAACAAAACTTCCAAAAATGATACCTAAGACTTTTCTTCTTGAGTCTTGTAAAAAATGAACATTATCCAGTCTCAAGACAGTTAGATTTCTTCTGAAGATCAGCAATAGCAAGACCTTTCATTTTGACACTAGAAAACTATTGACAATTACCCTTTGTTACAACATCATCATTTCTTCAGATGCCCTCCTTAAATACAAATTGCACTAACTTTTGATTACTACAATGAAATGCCAAAGGCAAACTAGCATTATAAAGGAGTGGGGTGTATAGTGAATTGTGGAGGTTCACAGTCCCAAACTGCAGGCCCCATTGGTTCTGCCTCGTGCTGTCAAGAGTCACGAAGTGACACAGAGCATCGTGATAGCAAGACCAGGAGTATGCATGACCCGAGGATTCAGTCTAACAATCCAATCTAATAATTTCCCAAAAGCTCCGCTGCTAATTAACCCCATCATTGGATTACATTTCCATCCCTAGGACTTGATGATGTCAAAGGCTACATGATTTCCCTGAAATCCTGTAAATCCCTGAAATTAGGGTTTCTTGGAAAAAGTATTTGCTTTGCAGATGAATGTTTTCCATTGACAGAACTGAGTGTGAAGATGGCGGGATGGGGAAAAGAATGTGCTGGCTCTCCAAGCTGGCAAGCCTATGCCAGCTGGAGTATGCACATGGCTGCTGCTCTGGTGTTCACCAACACTCCTATACCCAGCCTTGCCTTCCAGGGCACTAGTATATACAGTTAAAAAAATGCATATGGCTTCTCGATACCCATTAGGGTGCCCAAATGTGTGGCTTCATGTTGTCTGAGTCCTTTTTAAGAGTACAGGATTCACATTAAAATATATCATAATTGTATTTGTTACCCTAAATACATAGTTCAGGTAAGGGTGGTGGGTGAGTGGTGTGCTTTGTTTATCCAGTTGACCATTTCTTTTCTTTTTCTTTCTTTTTTTTTAATCTGTTGAGAAGAAGATGCCAGGGACTTATGTGGTTGCTGCTGTGGATTTTTTCACAGCACTGTTTGATTTCATGGAAATTACAGATGATTGTAGTGCTCCCATGGTGAGTGTGTGGCAGCGTCAGAGAAGCATCTTGGTTCTTCAGCAATGCTTGAGGGAAGGTGAGTGTGATATGTGCACCTACGAGTGAGGAATGGGAGGAGTGCTTGTCTCAGGACATTTCTTCCACCACTCTGAACTGCCTATATTGCTAGGATTTTGCTGTTGATTAATACTTCCTAGAAACCCTTTTCCCTTGATAACTTTTAGTAATGTCACTTTTTATTATTATTTTCCTCCTACCTCTTGGACTGCTTTTCAATGTCTTTGCAGATTCCATGTCACATTCCCTGGGCTTCCAGCGTTCCCTTCTTGGCCTCTGCTCATGTCCATTCTATTGCATGTTCTCCCGGGACAATTTTCAACTCTCACCAATGTGCCAGTGACCTTGAGTTTATATCTCCCTGCTTTGAATTGCTCCTGTGCTTTAGGAGAATATGCACGCTATACACCCCTCAAATGTTCAAATCAACCATCTCATTGCTCAGCCTCTAGTAGTCCCCTTAGCTCAAAGAATTTGTGTCCCCCAAATCCACAAAATCAGAGAAAGATGCTTTTGTATGTTTACTTATGAAACTTATTTTCACACTATTTCCAAGAATTTATTATACCTACCAGAGGATTCTTAACTGTCTCTTTTTCCGTTTGCACTGGGCAGTTTCCGACTGCGATTGAATTATATGAAGAAATCCTAAAATTTTTGAGTAGGGCTAAAAGTAATTTAGAAGTAATTTATTTTTAAGTAGCCCCTGACACATATTTACTTTTTGTTTGGTTATTACAAATAAGAAAACCATGATCACCCAATTACTCCTGTATGAAGGGGTATACTCAATTTAAGGATTAAAGCAATGAACACATTCTTAAGTCAGTCATGCGTGTTTATGATGGGAATCATATATTAGCCAAAATCTCAGAATCCTATACAGGCACTGAAACACCACATAATGGTTGCAAGTTTGAGAGACTCTGGAAATTAATCTCAAGTTCATTTAACTGTTATACTTGTGATTATTACAGCAATAGAATACAACAATGGGAAATGCCTTAGAGGGAAGAGTCCCATAAGAATTATAAGGTCAAGGCTCCAACTGTCTTCTACTGGTGGTATCATGCAGCTAGTACTTCTTTACTTCTACCTACCATGTGGGAACATGCTGGAAGGGTTGCCAGCAGGAAGCTCATCCATGCCTGCGTGTCCACAGCTTTATTGAAGCCACCTAAGGATGACTTCCCAGTCACATAACTGACTTAGCTTCCAGTGCTCTGAAAGGTCAGATTGACTCCTCCAAGGCTCCCCTATAGATCATTATCAGACTGCCTAGTGTGGCCCCAGTTTTTTCAGTAAACCAAGTCTTACCTAGTAAGGCATTCCAGAGGTGTTGGGATTACAGTATAGAAGTTGATGAAGAGCCAAAACTGCCCCAATCAAGGTTGATCTTTTACTGGGTAGTAGAATGCATTTTTCTAACATGCATGTTCATATTTGTATCTTTTTTGGTTTACTTAACCCTTTACATGTCTTATGAATACTCTCCTAAAATATTATTTATAATCATTGAATAATAATCCATAACCATATTAAACTTTCATTATTAAAGTTTGTTTTAAAGTTTCATTTTTACTATTATGAACCGTGTTAATGAGGTTCTCTGGTTAAGCTTTGTACACATCTATTTACTGCTTAGAATAATCTAGAAATTAAATTAGATCAAAGGCCAACATGATTTTTCATCATTTTTGAATATACACACCTTTGTCTGAAGGCTCTAGGAGAAGATGTTAACATATGTTTTGGGGAGAAATGAATAAGCATATTCACTTCTGTTTTCCCAAGTAGCTCATAGTTTTTCCATTTTGCAGGTAAAAAATGAATTCACTTCTATATGTATTTATGTTACTAAAAAGGTCTAACATTCATCATATACTGTTAATTCATTTTATTTTAATTTATGAATCATATATTTACAATTAATATTTTTGTTCATGACAAGCTTTTACTTTCATGGATTCACTCCAGGATTTTTTTTTTCCAAAAATTTTTTCAAGGTATTTTTAATGTATGTTACAGTCAAAGGCTTAGGTATTTCACTAGATGAAAGAGTTCAGCAAATCCAAGGACATGACCTTAGTCCAGCAGGATAAGAAGCATGGGCTGTAAACAATAATCACATGATAAATACTTGGTTTTGATAATCAGTTCCTATTATTTTTGATAGATTTTTGGCTTGCATTGCTTCTTATAGGAAGTTGGGGTAATGTTGAGGATAATCACCAATATGTAACATGCCTGTTTCTTTTGGATGCTTTGCAATGTCCTCCTTATCATGCAGTTGTAGTAGTTTAGCTTCTGTATACCTATTTGACTTTTGTTGACCTTGTGGGATTTGTGGTGGGATACTGCGCACTGATACAAGAAATGTGTACTTCTCCAAGAAATATTCAGCACTTACTTCTTTTCTTTCCTTCTGATACTGCCATTACTTTTAAACTGGACTGCTTAATAGAACTCACTGTTTCTCCTCATTTATTCTCAGTCTTTTTCTGTTTATGCTTCAGTTTACACAATTTTTTATTGCCTTGTGTTACAGTATTGAATCTACAATTCAATCTAAATGGGGATTCTTTTTTAATACAAGTATATTAAAAATTTCATATTGATGTTTACATAGTCAAGAAAGATGTTTGCCCATGTGGACCACTGATTAAGGTGGGAAGGGTAGAGGAATGAAGGAAAGTGGATGAGACAATTGTTTCCAGTTGTTTGTTTTTGTTTTCTTCTCGTTTCTGTGGGAAGGGAGGAGAGGGATGCTCCCATGAGTACCTAGGAATGTGGGATGGCCAGTCCATGTCATCTTAGGCTCCCCATTGTGGAGTGTGCTCTGAGGTCTTGGCCCACATGCTTTTGGTACTTCTGAAGTATTGTTGATTTCATTGTTCCAAGGATGAAGAAATCCTCCCAAGGTCCCTTGACTGACACAGTCTGCCTTAGAGTCTCTTCTCCCAGATACTTGCAGTCAACACTTGGCCAGGAGAGTTATCCACATTGCATTTAGCCCTCGTACATGTCAGTGTGTCTCTTCTTACCGCTGGCTCCATGCACCCTTCTCGAGCTCTGAACTCAGCTGGAGCTGGACTCCAGCATTTCCTGTTGGTTCAGAGCCCGCATCCCTGCTTTTAGTTTCCTATGACATAAACACTGAGATGAACACATTTCATGTTGGATGGCATGGCGATGGGAGAAGAAAAGTTTCTGAATTAGTTTGTGTTGCTGTATCAAGTATGTTAAATTGGGTGATTTATAAATAACAGGAATTTGTTTCTCACTGTTACAGAAGATGGAAGTTAGAGATGAAGATCCCGGTAGAATTGTCTGGTGACTGTAGTTGAAAGAAGACACCAAGACCT